TGTTTCTATAGAAATTAAATGATAAATTTTATTTCTACTGAAAACATCTAGTAAAAATTTATCAGAAGAATCCTGTCTAGTACTGTGGTAAGGGGTAGAACACATTCATTTTATAAAATAATCAGTGTTGCTCACATAAACAACATACAGTGAGGGTCGGGGATTTAGCTCAGCAGCACCACCCCTGCCTTTCGAAGTCCTGAGTTCAATCCCCAGTACCAAAAACATACGATAATTTTTTACATCAGCAGTGAATAATGATGTTCTTTGCACTGAAAGTATATTAGTACATGTAGGGTTTCATTAAGATTAAGATGAAAGAGCATCAGTTGTTTTTCTTTCTATAATTTCACTTAAACATAAAACAAAGTATTCCTGAAACATGAAGTTTGTTTAACTTTATCCTCACTTTTCACATAGCTAAAAAGATCAGCAATAAAAGTATTCCTCCACCTTGTTGTGCAGAACCCTAAAAACCAGCTGAGCATGGTGGCACATGACTATAATCCCAGTACTCTGGGAGGTGAGGCGGAAGGACTGCAAGTTCAAGGCCAACTTGAGCAGTTCAGCAGCTTAGCAAGACCTTGTCCCAAAATGAAAAATAAGAAAAGGGGTGGGGATATAGTTCTGCAAAGGCCCTAGGTTCAGTTCCCAGTACTGCCCCCCCAAAAAAGAATATTCTTTTTATTTCTGTTCTTCACTTACAAACATTTCACTCTTGTTTGTAAATTTCACACTTTTCACAAAATTTATGTTCTTACATTAATTATTGCTTATTTTCACTAGAAACATCTTGAGGAGCAGATTACTAAAGTTGATAGAGAATACGAAGAATGTGTGTCTGAAGATCTTTTGGAAAACATTAGAGAGATGGCAGAAAAATATAAGAAGAATGCTACTCTCCTTAAGGCTTCTGATGAATGAAGATAAAATGTTGATTATAATGTATATTTTATAAATCTAGTTCTTTAAATGAAAATATGTATAGCCTGAAATTATAACTTGTTGGATTATTTTTAGATATGAAAGAGCAGTTATATGTGTACCTGTAGTTAATAAAATTACATGAGTGAAGTGTGGTTTCTCCCTCACCTCTCTTTGCCGGACTTCAGGTGGTGAGAAGATAGGGCATATGATCCAAGCCAGAAGGTAGCAAGCTGCCACGTGAGCCCAGTCAGCGGGCCGCGTGTACTCGTCCGTGGTTGTCTGTGACTGCCTTCGCACTGACAGAGCTGAGTGCCTGCAGCAGCGACCATATGGCCTGCAAAGGCAAAAGGGTTACTCTCGAATGCTTGCTCAAAGAAGATCGCTGGCCCTCGTGTCAATACAACAGACGGTACCATCTTGACTGAGCACGCGTCCTCCAAGGCTCTCTAAGGAGCCTAGGTTCTAGCTTCATGCCATCTTTACTCTGAAGCAGAAGAATACAGAATGTGAGAATCAGAGGAAATGATAAAATCATCGAGCTCAAACCCCACATTTCAGAAATGAGAATTCGTTCCTAGAGAAGTTCCAGTTCACCTCTGATCACATCTGGTAGAAGCAACCCTGGAGCTAGGAACTGATGCACAGTCCTGAATTCAACCCCAGAGCCCTTTAAGAAGCAGCTCCTGGCATGTTACAGAGCCTTGGTAGAAGCCAGGAACAGACAGTGACTGTACTCCCTGCTGTGACCCTCAAGTCATTCAATGAGCCCAAGAACAGACACAGTACCCCTGGGATCAACCTGAGCAGACCAAAGTGGGCAGACAAGCTACCCTGCAGGCAGTTCAGGCCCCAGATACATCAAGCTGTTTCCCGTTTTCAACTATGGAAACAGAGCATCCCACACAATTAGCTGAAGGAGGAGAAATAGCCCAACCTTGGTTTACAGGTGAGTCAGCTCCTATGTGGGGTTCGGCAGGGACATAGAGCCAGATTCAGAGATGGCCCCATAAGCCTGATCCAGGGAAGATCTTCCGAATGGGCAGAACTGTGCACGGAGCACCTAGTCATCCACTTGTAGAAGTGGTCTGAGATGAGAAGACATTGGGATTCCCAAGCAGTGGCCAATGGCTTGGCCCTCAGGCCAGGGCCCTGGACACAGTGGGTTCTGAAAGGAAACAAAGTTACCTGTGGTAGAGCCAAGTGGCTGAACAATAGGTCATATGTTAAACACCTGCTGAAAATATCTACAAGGGAAGAGACACAAAATCACTCAGCCAACTGAAGCAGCGGAACTGGTGTGAGGGGCACCTGAATGGCCACGCTGTGGGAAATAGAAGTCGTGTATAGCTCCAATCATGGGGACTCCCACTCACCAAGATTGACCAGTTACCGCAACTCTCATGAATGTTCATCCTGTCAGCAACAGAGACCAACACAGCCTCTGACATAGAGCCATCCCTTGAGAACAACTGGCCACTTGGTGGCAGGTTGGCTACATGACACCTCTTCAGTCCTAATAGGGCCAGCACTTCATCCTCATGAAGCTAGATCCCTATTCTGGGAAAAGAAAACACCAAAAATATGGGATATAGAAGCCAGAGGAAAATTCATAGCTTTAAATACATTTTAAACAAGGAACTAAGAATCTAAAAAAATTAAGGGAGGAAATAACAAACTGAAACAAAGAAGAAGTTAATGAATGAAAAAAGCAAAATTTTATCAGTAAGAAAACAAGTTTAAGAACTAATAGAGACCCCCTTTGCTCCCCATAGTTCCTCAACACTCACTGTTATCAGGAACGACCCCAAGATGTTTTGGGCCCCAGCACCAGATAAGCCCAAGTGGAAGCTGAGAGTGAGGTGAATTTAGAACGGCAAGTGGAGGAGAGAAAGGATGAATGGCAGCTCTGGCACCCAAGACCTACAGGAAGCACATAAGAGGGTCTTTGTTTTCAACAGCCTCGTGTTTGTTCCCTTAGGAAGACAAAGCCATGAGAACCGTGAAGAGTTGTGCCCTGAGCCCATGTGAAGAGATGGATACGTGCTGTGAACTGTGGCGACTATGAGGATGTTCCACAGACCTCCTGCCACAGGGAGGGGAATGGCTTAGGCACAGGAACCCCCCACCAGGCATCCCACACATTCCTCAGACCCCAGCCATCTTGGAAGCTTCCAGCCAGCCTTTCCTTCCCCTCACTGCCATATGGTCTGGCCTCTCAGCCTTCCTCGGCTGCCTCCCTATTTCCTTTCCCACAGCCTTTTCCCTTCATACAATCCTTGCACATTTGACCCCACTTTGGGAGGACCGGCACTCACCATTTATAAACTAAATTGGGGATCCTTTATGATGCGGAGTCTTCCTAACCAAAAAAAAAAAAAAAGCACGAGGCCGGACTCAGCTCAGTGGTTCCACCACCTGCCCCGCAGGCACAAGGACCCAAGTTCAATGCCCGTACCAAAAAAAGCATGGCATATTTTCCTATTGGTTGAAAGCTTTTGTTGGGTTTGTAAACATTTCTTCATGAAAGTCTTGCATATTTTAGGTTTCTTTCTAGGAATCTTTCTGTTGCTATTGTAAATGGGTCTTTGCTTCCGTTGTATTTTCTATCTGGTTGTGATTTGTATATATCAAAGATAATGATTTCTGCATATTTATCTGATTTGTCACAAACTTAGTGAATCTTATTTAGTAGTTTTGTGGTTGGTGAGTTTCTTGGTTTTTTAGTTATGATCATAATTCCTGCAAATAGTAATCATTTCATTTATGCCTTTACTTATACTTCTAATTGCCTTTCTTTGTCTGTGTTGCCAGTAAATCAAATATAATGTGTAAGCATTGTGAGAGTGGCCATCATGGATCTTTGCCTAATTTTAGTAGAGATGCTGTAAGCGTTTTGCCGTTCATCATGATGCCACCTTTTGTACTGAGTTATGGGTCATATGTTATGGAAGTACTTTTTTCTCATTTTATTATGGTTGCTGGATTTTATCAAATGACTTTTAAGTATCCATGACATTGATATATAATTTTTCTCCTAATATTTTGATATGATTATTTCCCTAACATAGACATAGTCTTGCATTGATTGGTAGAAAACATCACACTTGGCCTTGGGAGTTATTTCTTTCTTCTGGGATGAGGTAGCCCCATTCTTGCCCATGCTGGACCACAGGGGCTATTCCAGGTTTGCGTCCACACTGATACCTAGGCAGACACCTCATGAACACAGCCCCAACTCCTTGGCCGGGAGATCCTCCTGCCTCTGTCTCCTGAGTAGCTGGACTAGAAGTTCACAACACTGCTAATGGATGTATTTTTTCTTTTCTTTTTTTTTTAAATGTGCTGTAGGATTCTGCAAATTTTTGATATTTTATTTTTTTGCATTGATAGTTGTAAATGAGGTTGGTAGTAGTAGTTCCATAGTTTTAATTTCTGTCAGGTTTTCGTATCACTTCAAATAAAGAAGTTAGACATTTTCCTTTCTACAGTGTCTCTGGGATGATATGAAGGTATTAGCTTTTCACATTTGGTAAGATTCCCCATCTGAGTGGGCTGCTTTTTATGGCTGTAGCTCTTTGCCAATTTCACCTCATTCTTCTATAGAATCCTGCTTATGCTTTTGTTTCTAATCTCTTCTGTAAATTTGGTAAATTATATTATCTTAGCCATTTTTCTACTTAGTCCAGTTTTTCAAATCAATTTGCACAGAATTGAAGATTTTGTAATTGTTTTATTTATCCATTTATAAAACAGAATAATTCATATAAATTACTAAAATTTATATAAATCATTACAATTTTAAAATTTTTGCATGTTTGAACTATCTTCATTTCCTAGAATCAAATAGCCAGTGTTTCCCTATTAAATTCATTTTTAACTTAATACTTCCTTTTATTTTCTAAATAATTAAAAATTTTGCTTTTTTCCTTACTAATTAACTCCTGCTTTGCTTGAATTTATTTTGTCATGATTTTTCCCCTCATTTTTTGAGTTAGAGTGTCTTAGTTATTTTCTCGTTTGCTGAGACAAAATACCTGACACCCAAAAATTAAAGGAGCAAAGGTTTATTTAGGGCACAGTTGGTAGAGATTTCTGTCCATAATTGGCTGGCTCCAGGGCAAGGTGGCTTGGCAGAGGGGCGTGGCAGAGTACAGATCATGGTGCCTGCAAGGTAGCAAAAGCAACAAAAAAAACCAAAAACAGTATCTTTCTGCCCCGTTTGTCTTAGCTAGACTATTTAAAACAGATAGCGCTCACACCCTTAATCCTATACCCTTAGGCCTAACATTATACCACCAATCAATTTTGGCATCACACTCTCTAGAAGTAGGTAAGTAGAGAAACAGAGAAGTTCAAGTTCTCATAATGAACAGCAAAGTTCTTTAGCAAACAGCAGAACCTGAGTACAGCAATCTGACTCCAGAACCTCAGTTCCTAACTGTTCCACCATGCTGGCTTCTATGGGTACGCATTAGATTGTTCCTTCCGTGATCTCACTCGGGGGTGAGCTATTCAGTCGGAGAAATAGAGCTCCGGGGACAGCAACCTGAAATCAATCAAAAGCATTGTGAGAACAAGAGATTTCGAAGCAACCGGCCAGGTCTCCAGGAAGTCACTCAGGCAGGAGCTGGGGAACTGTACAAAATGGCGACAGGGGTGGAGCAAGAGGATCTGTGAAGGACGTGAAGCTTTGACCAGGGTTGGTGTGCTAAGCAAGGGCTGGGTGTGGTGGGGCAGGACAGTGTGGTTCAAAGCGAGGTGGTAAAATGGCTCACACCAAGCAACTGAATGGGGGCCAAGTGGCACCAACATTGTGTACGAAGGTCGGGTTGGGGGATAGTTTGTCTTCTTCAGAGCTTCTCACTTCTAACTGGGGAGAGAGATCAGTCTGAAGCAGAAGGCTCCACCCACCAGAGACAAATGGGGAACCCCACACACAAACACGACTGTTTGCCCATGAGGGAGAGGTGACCTGCTCCTTGGTGGTGGAGATGTCCACCCACAGCTCTGTGAACTCCTGAGACAGGAGGAGACCCTGGCGCTGAAGAAGCCGGTCTGCTCCCCAGCAGAAATGAGTTGCCCTTGACAAGCTTCAGATGCTGTGTCTAAAGGAGCACATGACCCACAGCAGGGTCCTAGCAGAGGGGTAGAGGAGGGGGGAAACTACTCCCGCATTACCTCCCAGCCTCATGAATTACAGTCAGTTATTTGCCAAGGCCCGTGAGAAGTACTTTGCTCAAGATGAAGCACGCAGAACTCCAGCACTGGGAGAAAAACAGAGTGGCTGTAAAATGGATCCCCTGGGCATCTGCCAGCCTCGGAGCAGAGATGAGGGCAGGCCGACAGCTGGTTTCCCGGGCATCTAGAGGGTCCTGTTCCAAGTCCTTTTGCCTAGAAAGGAATTCCAGATGTGCTCTCGCCCCTGCTCCCTCAGGCCTCCCATCCTGGAAGGGAGATGGAAGGGCTCAGCTGGTTACCTGAAATGGTCCATTTGCAGGAGAGGAGGGAAAGATGTATGCCCAAGTCACGTTCCTCAGCACTGAGACACAATACCCAACACCCACACCTGAAGGAGGAGAGGTTTAATCTGCCTCACACCTGGAGAGGTTTCAGCCCATGGTCCAGTGGCTCTGAGGCAGGATGCCATGGCAGAGAATTGCTCGTGGCATGGCAGGCAGGAAGCAGAGAGAGAAGAAAGGAGGCAGACCTTTCCAGGCCACACACACACACCCCCGGGGGGCCCACCTCCCTTGTCCCATTCAGCTATAATCTACTGACTAATCCACTGATTCCAGTTGGAGCAGCAAATCCAAATTCTCTCAGCCTGTGGGTGAAGAGGCGAGTGACCCAGAAAAGGAGAACTGAGAACAGCCTGTCCTCTGGTCTTTCCTGAGGGGAACTTCTGTTCTGAGCAAAGAACTAAGGCTCGGTCACTGTGAGAGTCTAAGAAGCCACCCAGAGCTAACAGAAGCCAGAACACAGGCCCCTCCTGCAGGCGCTGGCTCTGGGAGCTTGCTGTGCTGTACTGAGGAGGCCAACCGGGTCGTCTCAGAAGAGGAGTGGGGAGAGGTTATGACAGGGGGTGAGCTGAGGTGCGGCTGACTCTAAAAAGGGATGGAGGCCGGGGATTTAGCTCAGTGGTTCCAGCGCCTGCCGCGCAAGCGCGAGGCCCTGAGTTCAATCCCCAGTACCAAAAGATAAAAATTAAAATAAAATAAAATAAGTAAAAAGGGATTGCTTGGCATCTTTTGCAGCTGTGCGGCAGGCTGTATTATGATTGGCTGGAGGCACTGTTCTGCTGCCTTCTCTGTGTCCTGTGACATCACTTACGTGTCTCACCGTTAGCAGACTCTCAACCCCCAGGTAAGTAGAGCTGCTGGTTGGCCATAGCCTAGCCTCAGGAGGGGTAGCTCTGAGGAGCAGCCCATGACGAATTCCACTAAGGCGGAGAAAAATTCGAACAGTAACTTGGTGGCACTGGAGGCCCTCGGCAGCTGGTGAAATATCTGAGGTGAACTTTCCCTTGATGACTCATTCATTATTTTCTGCACGTCCATGGGAGCTCTCTCCTGGGAGAAGATGCAGGGAGAGAAGAACACAGTCTCACCGGTACTAGAAACGTGTGCTTCCCCTTCCTGTTATGGTTGGCCGTGAGCTAGAACACCATGAGGACTTTAGGTCTGCACTGGGGCAGTCTTTCTCTTCAGCATCCAACATTGGAAACAATACACTATTTAGTATAAACTTCCCTTTGTTCTGAAAAAGCCAAAGGGCCGGACAGATTTAGTTTTGTACATAGAAGGCAAAAACATTCTCTAAAATGGAAAGAGCTGAGATCCCATGGGTCTAGGAATCTAAAATGTTCAATGGGACCCTGTAAGTGTGCGTGTGTGTGTGCACGTGCATTGTGTGTGCTTCTGACTCTGCTTTAACATCTGTATTTATTTTTTGTAAAGCCTTTCTTTCTGTCTAGATCCAGGAACAGGAGGGCCACACCCAACAGCTATAAAGGCAGGAAGCATCCACAAGACTGAAGCACAAAAACATGAAAACCAAGTGTGTGTGCACAACGTTCCAACTAACCGTCATGCAGAAGTCTGTTTCACACACATCAGATGGTGGGTGGGGATGCTTGGATCTCCTTGCCCACCAAGGTTGGGGTACTTTTATCTCTGCAGGCTGTTTCCTTCAGAGAAGCATTTCTTTTCTAGATGGGCTTTGAGATACAGCAGTAGCTGAGTCCCATGGGACAGCAGAGGGCCTGTTACAGGCGTCAGGGTCACTGCAAACTGGAGGAGGGCGGCAGAGAGGGACTGGAGCGGGCTCAGCAAAGGTTGGCTGGAGGCAGCTATTGATGGGGTTGTTTAAGACTGAAAAAAATCCAAGCCAGGCACAGTAGCATGTGCCTGTAATCCCACCACTCTGGAGGCAGAAAGATCACAAGTTCAAGACCACCCTGGGCAAGTTAGTGACTTAGTGAGACCCTGTCTTTTGAAAAAAAAGGCTGGGGATGTAGCTCAGTGGCACAGCGTCTGCCTGGCAAGTACGAGGTCCTGAGTTCAAACCCCAGTACCATTTAAAAAAAAGAAGAAGAAAGAAAAGACTGAGGAATATAGCTTAGCATGAAGGCCTTGACTTCAGTCCGCAATGCCCCAAACATGCAAACTAAACTAAACTAAGCTAAACTAAAAGAATATTCTTCAAGGAATATGAAAAATAACCACTATCTTTATTTTTCATAATTCCTATGGTTATGTCCAATTAAATGACCTACATGCTGTACTATCTGTTCATCTCCTCCTCTTTCTCCTCCTCTTCCTTCTTTTTAAAACAGCATAGCCCAGGCTGGTCTCAAATTCCTGATCTTCCCACACCAGCCACGGATGATGGGCCTGTGCCACCACACCCAGCTAACGCATCTCCTTCAAATGCTGTGTTCTCCTTCTGTATCAGGCCAACTTCCTGTAAGGGAGGGTGATTAGTGACCAGTTTCCAGGGAAGAGATTAATTCTCTTTTAGGAAAGTGAAACCTAGATGAGAAATAGAAACTTAATGCGTCCATTTCCTACTGGGCTTCCTCTAGGCACCCTGTGTGACACAACGCAGACCCGCAGACCCCTGTGTGTGGATTCTACGGACTGTTAGGGGAAGATTGTCTCTGTCCATTGGGAGGGAAGGACTACAAGCTGCAAACAGTCAGATGGATTTTGTAAATCAGGTTGCTCATGTATTCTTTTTTTGAAAAAGGATTTTTTGAGAGCCGTTGTCATCTCACAGCAAAATTAAAAGAAAGGCACAGAGATTTCCCATGAATCTCTCGGGCCTGCATTTATCCAGTCTTCCCCATTAACACACTGGGAGGCTGAGACTGGAGGACTGCAAGTTCCAGCCCAGCCTGGATGACTTATCAAGACGCTGTCTGAAAATAAAGAAAAATAAAAGGCCTGGGAATTTAAACATAGGATGTTTGGACTGTATCCAATAGAATCACATGAATGCTGTCTCATACTTGAACAGTTCAAAGTTTCTGGGCTGGAACCTAGGATCTATAAACACACATTACAGGTTATTCTTACTTCTGCTGTCGTCTTAACACCACAACAGAGTCCCAGCTGTGCTTCGGGAATGAAGAGGGACCAGTGTTCCTCACAGAGATCACCCAGACCAGGAGCCAGCAGTGACAGATCCCTTAGGGGAGACCCGGTAGGTTCTGCTATTCCGCAGAGCCTCCCTGACCACTGGTGCCCTTAGTCTGACACTGTAGGATCTGGGCTTTCCTGTGGACTTCGACTCTTTCCGGAGAGGCCCAGAGATGCCTTGTCTGCTATTTGCCACATGACGAAGCCCAAGACTCCTCGCTGATCTGCTGCTAAATTTAAGAAGGTGATCATTGAGCTAGATAAGGCCTAGGTGTCCTTTCCCCCGATACTTCAGTTCCACCTTCTCTGAGTACAGGTGACCCCTGATTTAGGACGATTCCACTTCAATTTTACAGCAATGCAAGAGCAACACACATCCAGAAGAAAACCTGCTTTGAAGTTTGCCCCTTTTTTAAAATTTTGAGGCAGGCTTTGCTAAGTTACCCAGGCTGGCCTTGACCTCTCAGTCCTCATGCCTCCACTCCCCAATGAGCTGGGACTACAGATGCCAGCTGGTGCTGGATCCCCTTTCTATTTATTTATTTATTTTTTGGTACTGGGGATCAAACTCAGGTCCTTGAGCTTGCTAGGCAGGCGACGAAACCACTGAGCTAAATCCCCGGCCCTGGATCCCCTTTCTAGATGCTGGGCATGAGCTGCAGGAGGAACCAGCAGTGACTGCTCTGTGCTGAGCTGTGATGTTTACCTGAATCATGTGCATTCTTACATTTTTATTGTATGAAGGTTTGTTGCAAAAGAACCTATCCTACAAGCGGGAGCAGTTGCACTGCTAAGCGTTTCACTGGAGCAGAATCAAAGGTGGAAACGACTAACCTCCTGAGGTCTGCAGCTGCGGAACGGAACAGTCCATGACCCCATCCCCACCCCACCCCAGGGCTCTGTGTGGTCAATCCCATCCTTTCCCTCCCTCCAATGCTTGTTTCAGTATTAATCTCCCAGAAAGCAAAACTGAAACTTTGTTCTGCTCCCAGTATGATTAAGCATATCACATGCTACAGGAAGCAACAGAATCAAGCAATAAAATAAAGCTTTCTTAGAAGAACTCAAAAATAATAGGGCCATCCTGACTGATTCTGTCTCCAAAAGCATAAATCCTAGAAATTCCCAGTGAACCTGGACACCAAACAATGTCTTCCCTGTCTTTTGATTTTAGGTTGGTGTTTTTCTTCTCTTTGAGACAGGGTCTTGCTAAGTTGCCCAGGCTGGCCTTGAACTTTCCACCCTCCTGCCTGAGCTTCCTGATAGCTGGGATTGCAGTTCTTTTTTTTTTTGTATGGGGGATGGAACTTTGGACCTTGTGCTTTCGAGGCAGGCAGCAGCACCACTGAGCTAAATCCCCGGCCCATTCAGTTCCAAACTGCTACAGTTCTAAACTGCTACCCTGATTCCTGATTTTTGATATCCTGATGTCTGAATAGTGAATGATCTTTGTAAATATGACAGCTGTCTTAGTTACTTTTCTTGTTGCTGAGACAAAATACTCGACACCCAAAATTAAAGGAGGAAAGGTTTACTTAGCTCACAGTTTGTAGAGGTTTCAGTTCATAAGCAGCAGATTCCAAGGCAGGGTAGCATGGCAGAGGAGAAACAGTTCATGGTGGGCAGAAGGCAGCAAAGCAAGCAAGAGAGGACACCACTCTTTCTGTCCCTTATATCTTATCCAGGCTACTTAGGGTGGGTAGCACACACCCCCTTAATCCTAGCGCCCTGGAGCCTAGCATTGTGCCATGAATCAATCCCAGCATCACACACTCTAGATCCAACCACCTCTGAAAAATTCCCACCTATGATCACCTGAGGCATAGAGGACATATAGACATGAGCCATATAACGGCCATGCCACAAAGTTGCTTTTCCCCCTCTAACATTGTGAACCAGATATGAAATTGATCCCCTCAGAAATTTTGCCTTTCTTGTCCTTTAAATATTTGTGTTTTGAATTCGGTGGGCTGGTTTCTTCAGAAAATAGTCTGACACACTTACTCTGATGACAACTACAATTTCTTCTTTTTTTGAGAGTGGGATTAATTTCATTTTATTAAAATTATTTATTTTGTAATTGAAAAAATTGTAAATATGTATGCTGTACAATATATTTTAAAATATGTATACCTCCTGGAATGGCTAAATTGAGTTATTAACATTTGTATGTTTAAAATTTTTTCTATTTTTAGCCTACATGGTGTTATAGACCTATAATCCCAGCTGTCTGGAGGCTGAGGCAGTAGGATCTCAAGTTCTAGACCAGCCTGAGCTACATGGTGACCAGTCTCAAACAACCAAAGGAAAATTTTAAAAAACATATATATACTCTTTTCTATTTTTCTCTTTCTTTTTAATTTAAAAACCTTTTTCTCATTTATACAAGGATATATAGGATTTCAAGGGCCAAAATTAAATAAATGAAAAATTTTCAGATAGAACTGTTTCAGACTGTAAATTTCCTCTAATTAATTTCTTAAATAATTCTGAATTCTAGACTACTAAAAAAGAAATTAAGAAAAATTAAAATCCAGTTTAAACATTGCATTCGTCACCTTTCTGCTGCTGGGATCAAAAGAAAAATTGAAGACTACACTACACTGTTAAGCACCACTTTGCTCTGGCTCTAGGCGGTCCATTTCTTCTCTCCTCGTGTGAGTGCGAGCCCACTTTGACCCCTTCCTTTCACAGCCCCCTTTCTGCTCAGGACCCTGCAAAAGACCGACAGCCTGTGGGAGGGTACCCCGCCTGGTCTCAGTGCCAGTGTGGTCCCTCTCAGGTTTGTTCTGAAATAAGCCTGTCCTGTTGAGCTTGTACCTTTGTTTTCCCTCCTTTTCCCTGATATTTTGGTGGCCTGCAGAGAACAGGTTGAGGGGACTACTCCAGTATCGCCCACCTCTTCCTTTGTGGTCCTGCCACCGAGACGATCTCATGACGCACAAGGCAGTCCTGCAGGGACTCCCATCCCTAGTCAGGCCTAGCCGGGGGCTTATGCTGACCTGCCAGGAGGAGCCCAGAGATGCTTTCCAGTGGGGGACCCATTCCCACTTCCCCTCCACTTTCCCCCTCTTCCTCACAAGCTCCAGGAGGTCTTTGCCATTTCCTGCTAATCCTCCACTCAGCACCAAATTCCTCAGGATCCAGCACAGGACTGGTAAGATTGGCCCTGCCTTTCCTAGGCATCCAGGGGATGGAGGTCTGCCGTCCTAGACCCCCAGGGGTCCCACAGTTGGGCTCTGTGATGGACTTCCAGAGCAACTGGAGCAAGGACACCAGCCCAGGCTCGGCAAAAGCCCCTCTGACATGGCCAGGCCAGGTCCAGTAGGGATCAGTCCGGTCCCTGTGTGGGGGACGACAGCCCAACACAGGCTACGGACCCCGGCTGCTCTCTCACCAGCGACGATGGGCTCCCACATTTCTCATATTCCAGCAGACACCCCTTTGGATTGCCTCCTAAAAAAAATCTTTCTCCCCTCAATTTAAAAGGGAATATTCAGCCTAAACATCTCATATTTTATTCTCGCGTGGCTTGGCCTAGGTACAAGCTAGACAATGGCAGACAATAAGCCTGACTCTGGCTTGTTTGACTTCCAAATTCTTCATGATCTTGGTAACTGCCTGCAGAGAAGTGGCGAGTAGCAGGAGGTCCCTTATGCCCAAGTTTTCTTCACTCCCCACTTGCATCCCTCTCTTTGCCAAGCTTGCTCTGTCCACCAGATTCTCCTACTGGAGAAAAACTCACACTTAACTCCTTACTCTGACCTGGTAGATGAGCCCAGCCATACCAGCTTCCTCCTCCTTCCCCTCCTGAGCCAGGTTCACCTCCCACTGCAGGTACAGCCCAGGGAGCTGCAGAAATAGCTTAACCTTCCACCCTTGCTCCTCACCCTCTCTGCCTGCTACTCCAACACATGGCGGGGAGTCAAAGGAACAGTTAATGTCTGTGTTCCCTTTTCCATGAATGACAGTGACTGGGATCTCTCTCTGAAAACCCTGGTAAACATAGAAAGGCTGCCACTTGGCAAGACAGATATTTAATCATTTCCTCAACTCTCATGCCCAGTGAGAGAGAATGCATTTGGCAGACAGCTGAAACTTAGGCAGATAAATTCCAGCAAAACCCAAACAACCCAATACAGGCAGGCGATGGCTGCTCAGGCAGTCACCAAAACAGCCCCCGCCAAACCTGCCTGGGTTTCCCAGGACGGGGATCGGAGTCTTGAGAGGCCTGATCTCATAATTAGCTCCTAGCTCGTGTGGAGAAGAGTACATGCAAAGCAATAAACTGTAAGTTAAGAGCAACTACTCACGGACCTGATGAAAATCCAGCCCTGTTTATGTCCCATCTAGTGGAGACCACGCTAAAATAAACTAAAATGGACCCTGACTCTGGGGAAGGACAGGACTTGTCCATCTCGAGTTCGTTTCCCAGTCCACTCCCAATACTAGAAAAAAAGCTTCAAAATTATAAGAGGGACCCCAGGCTCCCAGAAATGAGCTCATAAATGGCCATTCTACATTTATACCACCTGAGAGGATGGGGAAAAGGCCCCCAAAGCAAGACAAACTAGATTATATCTGCTATTCTCGGAGGGCCCTGTACCCCTCCTGGCACCTCTTACAGACGTGGCAGTGATGGGCACTGGGCAGAAGCCTGCCCCAGTCTTTGCTCCCCAACTAAGCCATGCCCCTTCTGTGGCCAGTGGGGACCCTGGAAGATGGGTTGCCCCAGAAGGAATGTCTCTCCGGCTTGGGTTTGGCCTCGTACAGGAAGCCCCAGCTGCCTTATGATGACCTGTCTCTGCTACTGGCTTTAAGGACAGAGGACTGAAGATGCCTGGGACCCACTGCCCCATGAAAGGTGAGTGTGTGGAAGCCAGGGTGCTTGGGACAGCATCCCATAAGGCCAATTCCTTTCCTACCGATGCTGGGGCAAGCTTTTCTGTGCTTTCTGAATTCAGGGGCCACTTGCCCACTCTGCTGGTCCTGTGGCTGGCACAAAGCACCTCCGGGAGCATCGCCCGCAGACTCCTCCTGTGAACTGTACAATAGGGGGATGACCCTGCTCCACTCACTCCTGACTCTGCTCACTGCCCCGCCCCCATTCCAGGCAAGGACCTTATGCATAAACTGGGAGCCGTGCTATACGTGCCCACTTTCTCTGGGCCTTCGAGGTTCTTGCTTCTCTGCCAGAGGGACGAATCTAAAAAAGTTAGCCTGTCTGTTGCCCACTCCAGCTCCATAAAATGGCCTCTTCGAAACCCCCAGGTCTGGAACATGAGTACGCCCGAAGTAGTCGCCCACCACACCCCTGTAAATATTTCACTGAAGGGTCCTACTCATTTTATTTCAGTTTCCCAGTACCCCTTGTCCCAGAAGGACTGAAGGGACTCACACCCACTAGTGATCACGTTCTCAGGGTGGGAATATTGATTCCCACCGACTCTTCTCGCAATACCCCTGTTCTTCCCATCAAAAA